AACCCTCAATGGTTGCTAGAGGCGGAGGATTTGTGTTGCGTGGAAGAACATGTCCTTATAGGTTTTCTTCGTCAGGAAAACTTGGCTTTTGATCACATCACTCGTTGGAACCTTATAATTCAGTGGGCATTGAGTCAACATCCCAATCTTGACAGCGAACTCGTAAAACGTTGGTCAGACGACGAATTTGGTCTACTCGGAATAACTATTCGAAATCTCATTCCTCTAATTCAATTTTCAGAGATTTCGAGAAATGATATCCATTCTAAAGTTCTGCCTTACGAGAGGATATTATCTCAAGATATCGAAAATTCTGCTCTCAAATGGTATCTGACCAAATATAAAGCTCGTGGTTCTCAAGGCCTTAAAAACTCCAACCTTATAAATCACGTCCATGCTGCTCATTTCATAAAATGGATTGAGGCATCGACTAGACGTGAGGAAAACCAGCCAAAGGTCCCGTGTAGGTATAGGTTCGAACTTATTTATCGTTCATCTCGTGATGGATTCGGTAGTTATTCGGAAAAATGTGATCAAATGGGTCCTACGCTTGCAGTGGCAAAGGTCGCTGGCCAACGGTGTTTAGTAGGAGGCTATGATCCTCATGGACTTCACATGAAAAAGAAGAGCACTTATAAACCAAATGGAATAAGTGTCAAGGATAATTTTATCTTCTTTTTCGATAACCGACAAAACAGGTCGGAAACAATAAAATGTCGATTAAGTAAATTTGACGTGTTATATCGTAATTTCTTATCCGAAGATGGGCCCTGTTTCGGGGACTTACGTCTCATTTTGAGATATAATAGTGGGGTATACATGCCCTCCTTCTATGCTCCTAACTTACCTAAAATGTTTTTTGACATAGAGGAGTGTGAGGTTTTCAAGGTCATTAAGGTAGACAAGATCGACAAGTAACATCGTAATTCTAAAGTTAATGAATTTATTCCTTCAACTTATTCTTTGTAAAATTTGTGGTGAATCTCGGTGGATTAATTTCCTCATTTGTATATTTTTCTTCGAATTAACAAATGTCATATTAATATCGTATACAAACTCAATTTAATGTATAGGGCATAAGATATGTCAAAAAAAAACAATCATGTTCAATAAAAATCCACAGTATACAGTATATTTATGCTAAGCCGCTTAACGAGCAAGCATGAATTTAAATACAATATACGAATATCATATAAATTCTATAAATTAATTTATCGAACTTTTTATATTAATTATAAAGCGAATTGCTTGTCCATTTCCATTATATATATTTTAAATATGTAAAAATATATACAAAGTGTTAATATACTATTATTTTGAGGATCAATGAGTTCAACAAATTGTATAATTGATTTCCTGAAAATATTTTTGTTAATAAAGATCCACCAAATTCTTCACACACATCATATCGGAACTAAATTACATGCATTATATCAACTCTCGACAAATTCCGTCGAAGAAAATATTTTACATTAATGGCATTGATATGTATATTGTCATCGTATGTGCAGATTCTAGGCCTTGAATAAATTAAGACACAATCAAATCCTCCTTATGACGAAGCGTTATCAAAATAATTAATTTCACCTATTAATAAATGACGAATAGCTGTGTAATAATAATGTTAATAGAAATAAAATCTAATATAAGAAAATAACTATTATCCTCCATATGGCTATTATAATGATGATAAAAACAATGGTTGCAATAAAATAGGAGAGAGGCCTGCGCCTTCGAATGATTCCAACCCCAATAACTTATGAGATTGAAGAATATGTAATTATTAGTCAATTTTGCTGTAAAAAAGAAAACCACATTTAAAAATTTACCTGGAGCTGGTTGAGTTTGCACAATAATCGGAGTTGGTTGCATATTTGTGACAATAACGTTGGTCGGAGCTGGTGTATTAATTGGTTGCATTTGTAATGGTTGAGAGTTTTGTTGATAAGTTTGAGAATAAGTATCCTGGGGATATTGCGGAGGCGCATAATTGTAAGATGATGAATTTTGCTCATGATGAAATGTTTGAGAAAATTGTTGAGCCGAGGCATCCGGTGGTGGAGGATAATACTTTGGTTGAGAAGATTGTGACGGTGATTGGTGGTGTGTCTCTGGACCCATGGGAGGAGTTATTTTTTGCACTGCTTCAGACACTTGGTCTGAGGCATTTGGAACATCTGAATTTTTTTCTACAACCACCATTTTCTAAGTTGTTAAATTATTTCTTTTACTTTTCGTAAAAATTGACGAGTACTGTATTAGTTTATCATTTTTCAAAACTTTTAACTCTATAAATGAAAAAAACTTTTTTGGTAGTTTGTCATACATTAAACATTATCACGTAACAATTGAGTTTCAGGCGCATTTAGACAAAAGGAGGCATTAGCTTTGCTCACAAAGAAATCACCTGACAAAAATTTCATGATTGACCTTATTCCGTTAAAGGGCTGCATGGTAATAAAAACCGCTTCGAGTCGAACCAAGTATTATTATGCCAGTTTTCCTTCTTTATTTACAGTAGTTTTCTACTCTAAACTTAATATTGCGAATTATAGTAATTACAAAAAAATTTTGACGATAAAATTTTACTAATAGTATATTGTTGCGCGGCTACTAAACAGGTGTTTCTTGCCAATGACACCGTGACACGTAACACTAAGTCAAAAACAAAGTCTCGGAAATAAACATGGCAAAAAATGGCAAACTTGATTCTTTCAGCAAAAGAAATAATAAACCTATCCCTTGTTATATGCGAATATAAATGCTAGTTGTTCTTTCATTTTGTTTACTTAAAAACTAATTGTGGTTTTTGTAGTACTTTATTCTATACCAAAAAAAATATAATATGAACAGATCAAAATTATAATTACGAATTTAAAAATTTTATTGGTTATTAAATAAGCAATTCTAGTTTTTTTGTTTTTTTTTTGCAATAATTCATAGCCAAGTCAGATAATAGGTTAATAAGTTATTAATTAATTAAAAAATATAGTACAATATACTAGATAAATATATAGTATATAATCAAAATATTATAACTTATTTAACAAATTTATTTAAATATAAAAAGTCTTTAAGTTTAATTTTAATAACAATTTTATATTTTGAAATAAAATTTAAACCAAAATATTTTTATTAATTTAATAAATAATAGAAAACTATAAAAAAAAGAAAGTAAAAAAAAAATTTTTTTTTTTTTTTTTTAACCCTAGGTCAGGCTAGGTATGTGTACTTTATTAAATGTTTGTATACTGTATATTTTGAATGATTCGTTAAAGCTAAGACTTTACCTAACTCACTTGTCACCGTTTTGTTTTAATATATCAAAACTCTAAGTGCAACTTCGGGAGTGATTTATCGCTCCGTTAACAGTTCAGGTGAATACCTTTCCAACCTTTAACATCATTGCCTGCAGATCACCACTGTATATCACTATCCGTTGTTCTGACCAAGCTTAAAACCCAACCACTTCATTCCATAAGTAGCACCTTTAAATAGAATTTCTTTCGGGCTTTCATTTTCTTGAGTTCCTTCCTCT